TATTTTCATAACGTATGTTAGATTACGAATGAGAAGTGACAAAACATCTATGAACGATATAACTAAATGTTAATCGTTTAAATGCTGGATTAAGTTTTAGACTTACGTTTACAAAACAAATTGAAAGCAAATAGTTAAATTTTGGTGAACACTCCTAATGATAAAGACAATTTACAGTAATCAACTCAAAGGTGGTTAAACCTAGCAAATCAGGGCAACTGGAAAAACCCATCTCCATAATAGTCAGGATGCAAATATTATCAATTTACTGATTATTCTCAATGAAAAGGATTGAAATACATGGAAATTCACAATTATTTAAAAATACTATGAGTGTAAACCGTATTTATATATTTATTTTGTTTAGTAGTACACTTAATTTTTATTATGTTTGCATTTGTCTATAAGGACATTTGTCCACCAGTAGGGTTTTGATAGGTGATTCTCATCTCTGCGAAGTGTAATTTGAAGAAAAATATAACTCTTTCGGACATACAGTTTATGAACTGACTTTCTCTCAATCACTATAATCAGCAGTCAATCAGTTTTTACTTTAATAAATAACTTATTATCAGTATGCAAAAATGTTTGATTTGAACACAGAAATACCAAATTCATCAAAATCGGGGCCATCATGATACTGTGACGAAATGATACTATTTGATTTGTAATGCAATTTCTAAAAATTCTAAAAACAAGGAAACAATTCTTAACGGTATGTCTATTTTTGTGTTGAACGGCTGTAAGGTATACCTAGTAATTAGATTGTAAAGCCATTTTAAATTTAAGGGCAAAAATACTTAAGTTGTGACCATTACCGCTTGCATATTTTTCACTTGTTACACAAGCATTTCCATTATCCAGCAATTCATCACATCTATATCCTATGAAGTAAACGATTTGACAATTAATGAACTAGTGGTTGTAATAAATGTTATCCCACTACTGGTCGGAGACTGGAAGAAACTTGGTTTATTGCTAAATATGATATCAGTATATTGAATTTTTTTGCAATGATGTCATTTATTTATATAAATTTCAAGATAACTAATCATTTTTTTGTAAGGAAAGTATACACAATTATACCATATATCTTCATTAAAATAATTTTAACTTCTGATGACTGCCCTAGATACTTGACTATTGTAATTAGAATAAAAAGAGATAACTTCAAATAAGTTAACTTTGTATTAACTCATTGATACCCATTTATCTTAGGGCATAGTTATGTTTCCTCAAAACAATGAAAGATTTCATTAGGTTCCGGTCAAGTTGAAACCTAGATCTAATGAATAAAAAACCTCAATATTCATAACTAATGCCTTAAGCGAAAAGTGAATTGTATAATGAGTAAAATATTCTGATAGAAAGTTATTTTCAAAGTGAAGCACAGGGTAAAATGCTTTTATTATCATAATGTATGAATAAGAAATATAAAAAATATTGTGACATATTTGTGAATGTTGATTTGTCTCGATCAAATAATAAAATGATCTCTTAGTACCAATATCAATCTGTGTCCTACAAATAATTGACCACCATCTGAAAATATTTTTTCTTTAATAAATAATATATATATATAGAATAAAGATATGTAACACCTCAAAATTGAAGGAAATTTGAAGGAAGATAATAAATTTCAACCATCTATGCTTGAAGAATTTTATCAAATAACATATAACGTTGAGAAAATGGAACTGTAAATGTATGTACTTTAAACTATGTAAGTATTTCGTGCAAAATTACTCATGTTATGATCACAAGTAGTATAAAGATAATGGACATGGTAATAATAGTAGGATTTATTGTTTATTTTTGACTCAGATTATTATTTTCGTTTTAGTGAGCTTTAATTCACCGTGAGATAACTTAAGAATTATCTTCTAAACAACTGTAAGTGAAACTGTAGTAGTTAGTTTTAAAAAAGCTCTCTGTACGTTTGATCTTTGAGGTACAGTCATACGCTCTCTGATAAAAAGTATATAGTTATTATTTAATCCTGGTAAAACAACGCAAATATAGCATTACGATTAACACTAATATCAAAGTGGGTTGACTTTAAGCTACTATTTTCGAAGAACGTGGTTCCTGATGATCTTGAAGACATTATCAAATCAGTATTTGTTATCGATTTTATTTCTAGCAGAATTACGAAGAGAATAGTTTCTAGAAACAATGTGATTATCCACAAGATACCTGACAAAACTACGCTTAAATCAGTGAGATATTTGATACTTAGAGCAGTTAACCTTCGTTATAGTCCATGCTAATATATTCGCTTTAATGAGAAGCATCAAAAGTTCTCGTGCATTATCTTGCTTAGATTCAATTCACAATTGGAAGCTTGTCATCTGAAGGAATCTGAACGGCTAATCCGTGAAATTAAGAGAGTTACGAATGCCAGTAAAGTCTCAGATATAACTATCAATCAAAGGTCTACTCAAAAGCGTACCCCAAACGTAAGTAATAACATAGAATCTACAGAGAATCCTGTTATCTCATCAACTAGACCCATTAATGCGAATAACATATCACATTTCAGCCAATACCCTGATTCATCAATGCAGAATGCTGGGTTGCATTTAAGCACGTAGACAATCAATGTTTATCTAATGTAAATATAGATCCTGTGACTTCTGATTCGATATCTCTCAATATAACGGTTATAGCATTTACTCGAACGTCCAATCCTAACGTTAACGCTCATCAAAACACTATTAAGAATAAAAAGTCTAACCCAAATGAGAAGAAAATATAAACGGTAGTATCTGGTGTCAAAACCAGTACCAGAAAAATTATAAAGGCTTAAACAAACAAAAATACATTCCTCGACACCGTGTTTGATCTCTCTGATAGTGGGGTGAATGTATGTGCACACAGACTAAGACTTATCGATCCACCATTGCGTCATCCCAGTCAAACCTACTGTTGAGTTGGATTCCAGAGAACTCCAACAGAGCCTCCAGAGGCTCATAAGGAGCCCCAGCCAATCAGAATACGATAGAACATTCTAGAGTCCAACGTGGCATGCTACTATTGGTCGGTAGTAATATATGTCGTTAAATGGATTGGCTGAAATAGGATGTTGATTTAACATATGCTAACATCTATAAATACCTATGTTTTTCTGTACAAGAATGAACCTTGCAGTAAAGTGCTTCTCTGATACTCGTGTCTTCTCTCTGGTGTTCAAGTCGCTGAGTAGTGCTAGCCCTGGGGTTATCCGAATAGCTTAGGATCTGAATAAAGCGTTCAACCTACAAGACATATCACCTACAAACAATAAGTGACTTTTCAAAACCCCACTTTCTAAATCGACGAAAGATACCAACGTTTTAAATGACCATCACAACTTTAATGTAATTAGGCCTAATATTAGACAGACTGAAAAAATCAACGTATCCCATGGCTGCACCCAAAATGTTTATACATTGAATATGCAAGATATAGCATTCTGCATAATGACAGATTCATAAACGACTCTAAAACCGTTGTAAACATTTTCAGTGGTATTTTTGCACACAATAATGAGTTACTAAATGTCACTGGTTCAGAATTAATGTATGTGACTAGTAAGTCAATAAAACCTATTTTATTCATCTAAAATTGGTAAAACTATAAACTTCCTTAAAGTATAAGCCAGACATTGAGTAGACGGGATTTCTTCCTTTCTCCACAAATATGGTGAACCTGATATTCCACTACTTCTTCTAAAGCTGTTTACTCTCTCTCTCGAGACAGGCAAATACCCTTACTGTTGGAAAACCTTATACTTCATACCACTTTACAAATCTAGAGATAAGACTGATGTGAATAATTATCGGCCACTAAATGTTACTCAAGTTATCGCTAGGATTAAGGAGAACATTGTTGGTGACGAACTCTCAAAATATTCCTTCGCTGAACAACTTGTCACTTATTCTCGATTTGGCTTCATTGGGAATAGATGTTGTATGGTTTGCCACTTTGACTTCTTTGATTTAGTCTTTAACTAACGTACCTGATTAAGTCTTGTCTTAGCTTTCAACATTGTTGGTCACCAGATTTCCATAGGCAAACTCTGATCTTATGCAACCAGAAACCTTTTCCTTACCTGGTTTAATTCTTTCCCCAGTCACCAACACCGAAAAGTAAAAATTAACTCCTTATCGGATGTTGCCCTAGTCGAAAGTGATGTAATACAAGGTTGTGTCATAGATCTTTTACTTTTTTGGTTTATATAAATGATATTTACAATTTTTTCTGTATGAGTAAGCCTTTTCTATATGCACATGATCTAAAAGTAATGTATTCATCTTCTCCTTATCAGCTGAACAATGAGAAAACTAGCATCACTAAGGAGAACAACAGAGTAGCCCAGTGATACTCAAAATGGCAGTTGTAACTCAACATGGCTAAATGTGGATGAATATGTTTTGATACTTCTACACTGAGCCTAGATCTTACCATAAATGGTAAGGTTTTGTCCAAGTTACATACAGTAGTGGACTTGGAACTCATGTATTCTTACAATTTGTCCTTCTTAGAACAGATCTCGAAAAAGACATCCAAGTCTCAACGTCTTCTGGGGTGAATAATTCGTAACCTCTTTGACGAGTCACGTAATTTAATGAACAAAGAACGAGTTTGACTACTCCCATAAAACTGAAAGTTTGTTTTTAATATTGTTCGCATAAAGGATAAATTAAGTCTGGAATCAGCTCAGAGATGAATTAAACTTCAAACTTTCGGACTGACTGCACCTTTAATTTTAAGTGCAGATGTAAAAAGACGTGGAACCGACCCCTCATGGAAGAGAAGATTCAAATTAAATGAAATATTCATTCACTGAACAGCTCATTTGAAGGTTAGCGGAACCAAAGTAACTTTAGAATAACACCACGTAGGTGTAAATGTACATAAACAATTAACTGCTGATTATTTGTTTAGATTTTAATGACAGTCCCATAAACTCAAATAGTTAGTTTGTAATCCAGTTTTTGATATGAACATATACTTACCAAATTTATGCATTTGACTTTGAAGAAAATCTGAAGTCTTTTCGTCATCACATATATCATAGGGAATTAATCCATCGGCATTGCAAGCCTTCAAATCTGCACCACTGAACAACCAACATATCGTGTTGGAAAGGGAAAACAAGGTAAAACTATTATTAACAGCCGTAACACGTTTTGAAAAGTAACATTTCAAATATAAGCATCAAATAGTACTGTTTTTTTAGATTGTCCCTTTAGTCAAGGAATTTGAATTAAAATGATGACTACTATTTAATTACCTGGATTCTGACAGATATTTGTATACTTTAATATAAAGTATTAATTTTAGGCAAAATAATATTCACTCCTCAGAATCTGTTACGATTTATCATTACAATTAGCGGCGCGAGTGAACTATGCCTGTAATCCAGTAAACGAAATTAATGTGTGGAAATAAAAATCAATATTAAGCGTAACTGTTAACTGATAAGCACGTTTTTGAACTGTGTAGGTATTCTGACTAATTAGTACCAATCTTAGATGGAAGAATAAACTGGATTTAAAGTAGTCTACCAGATATTAAGACCAGTACTAATTCACTAGAAACGATTTATTCACATAATCATGAATAGTTGATAAGTTGACTTCGAAGCAACTTTGCTTGCCTGCTATCAAAATGACCGTTTCAACAAGATCAGCTTGTTACTTTAAGTCGAAAAGATAACTAAAGAATAAACTTTTTGTTATTTTTACGAATGTAACCAATACTAAACACACTGAGATCATAATAGGAGAATAGAAGATGCAATATCTAGACTGAGTCGAATTATAGTGAGGATCGATAGAAAGGAAATAATCTGTACGCAACTTTTCAAATCATGTCGGACTTTGCTTTCAAATAAAATCGTAACTTTACTAATCAGTAATAGTTTTCAATAGGACGAGGAACTCAGTTGTAAAAGTAATCTAATTTTACACTCAGAGCAGTGATTAAATCAGACCAGTGCTGTGTTAGTTTGTTAGTTGTGTTTATTTACTGACACTGACTTCACGAGTCATGAACACATCATAAAGAAATAAGAACTTTGAGTAAGGCCTAATTACAATTGAGGCTTTTTTCATCTGAGATAAAGACAAACAGCAAACATCGGTGAAGTCATCTTCTTAGGCATTACGGCGATTTATGGTGTCTTATAGTTGTGAACATTTTGTTAGACATGTCATTAGATTGAGTGAATAATACACAGCTTTCGTCAGAAATGATCATTTGTAGTTTTTTACTTTACGAAACGTTTAAAAAAGAAAATTTAAAAACTGATTTTTCTGTAAAAAGTATATTCAACTTCGTTATAAATGCTAATTATTTGCTAAAAATTAGTTAATTTTAGAGAAACAAAGTTTATGTTTGAAAATTAATTATGCCTATATATTTGGATTTGTTACCTTGTCCATGTGTAAATTATAAGCTGCAAATTTTAACATGTGGGCCTTAATTATTAATGAACGAACAGATATATGGACCTTAGTTTCTTAGTAAGTTGTCAGTGAATACGTCATTCATAAAGAACATTTAACAACCCACAAATATGCGGCTTTTAGGATAGTCCTACCTCTTGTCAAAACAGTCAGTGGACATCAAAACAGTCAAAATAATGGTTGTATGAACAATGATACAAACAGATCTTAGTTCCTACGGAATTGAGGATTTCTTCAAACCAGAGGAATGGATTTATAGTAAAAGCGAAGACTTGGAGGATGGACGATTAATTAGTATGTTCACCAGGACTGACAATAAGAATTTTTATACTGTAACGGATTTTAGTTTTTAATGCTACTTTAGTCAATGCCACTCCCTGATGGAAATGTGGATAGTAATAACTGAAACTACTGTAAAATAGAAGCTCGATAAACAGTTAGCGTGTCTCACTCTTAGCAAATTCTTTCATATATTTGGTAATCAAGATTCTGCTCGACAAATGGTCTGACCCATCCATATACCAAGCAATTCTTAGTGTAACGTTCGTCGAAGTCATTTTCTTATTAAAAATATTCAAAGCTCAAGCCTTAACTATTCAAATTATTCATACCGATATCAACATTCAACAAAAACATTTATCAGCTTTAGAATTTCACACCAAATGTAAATGCATCGTACAGTCAACCCAAAACGATGATTGAAAACAAGAATTTCAAATAGGTGCACTAGCTTGATCCCGATGTACTTGCATAAGAACTATGGTGCACTAAACTAAGATATACATAAAGCTTTGATTTATGGATAAACACATATTGATAGCTTACATTGTGACATTATCGAACATTGATTCATAAAGAAATGAATTATATGCAAAGACAGTGGTTCTAAAGCTACTAGTTTTAACAAAGTTTATGAATATTAGATTAATCTCATAAAGCATATGTTTTATTCTATCAGTTTTTTTAACACTTTATTAACGGTTGTTAAAATACTTTCTTTTTACCAAATTTCATTTTATTTCATCTGAGTTGTTCGTTCATTTCCAGTAAATATGTACAAATCAACAGTTTTAAGCTGTAAAAAAATCCTTTGTGTGCCTTCTTAAGTCAAGTTACAAATCACATGAGTAGTCTACATTAGTGTATTGTTTATCTACCTAATATCTTTTCTTTGTTTATGTAATTTTCAGAAATTTTATTTCCTTTGTAGCTGTTCAGCTCTCTTAACTGAAAAATGTTGGTGGAATTAGTAATCTATTTTCTTTGAAGAAAAAGCAAACTGAAAACATTTAATCATGAAAAGTGTCAATCAATCATTTTTAATCACAAAATTTACATCTGATCACCTTCAACAGGTATGTGTTGTTTGGGTCAGTATTAGATTGTTCAATCTAGATAATATACACAGGTCTATAGCAAAATAGCTTTGTTATAGTTACATTGAAAAGTAAAAATCGGAAACTCAAGAGAATTGGTACATTCTTTCATGTTGAAGCAACACACGTCATCATGCAACAACTGTTCAAAAGGTAGGCAATAAGGAAATGTTCGATACAATAAGATTCATGACACGGCGACAAGTAATTATTGATCAAATATATCAATGATCGTTGCTTCACTGTTCAGCTGTTTTCTATCTTTATGGGATTATTTTCAACCATATGATGACTTTTATTGACACATGACTAATTTTCGTAAGACACGTTTACATACGTCATGATGTTTTGTATTTCACGTTATATTATCCATTTTATGTTAAAATTAAATTTTTGTGTTGTTGTTTTCTTTGAGACAGCATTTTCATATTGAAAAATATCCATGTTTTGATGTTGTGACCAGTTTAAAGAAAGACTAAATTATTATACATACTATAAATGCGCTTATATAAGTACAAAATAAAGTAGGTAAATAAATGACGTTTAACTGTTCCATCCATAAGCATTGAAAAGTCCATAATAAATGGACACATGAGTGCAACTTAATAATAATGGTATTTCTGATTAACAGTAGTTTATTTCCAATAGACGTTTATTCAGAAACTGAAGTTTCATGAAGGCATTAGTCAGAAATTGGTGAATTATTATGTTACGGTTGTCTTTACGTGTCTATAATTTATTTAAATAATTTCTCTACAGGTAGCCGAGATATACATGGTTTCAGAATTGTATTTAACTAATAAACGACATCGAATTCTTGGAAAATAAATAAAACTAATTATATCTTGGTTTTTCATGTGTTCTGCTAGTAACAATTTAGATTTATAAAATTTTGTTGCTATAAATGAAAAAAAAATCTTGTGATGTTACTACACTCAAACAAATATAAGATTGTTTTCATTTGATCACACATAAAAAAAAATACAAAAATATTGTTTACATTCAAACCTTATCTAATAATCCGTAAGGTTTTTGTGGATGCTGGTCCAGTTAAATTGACTGGAACCTTAGATAGAATCTAGTGACCGGACGTAATCCCACATGACTGGTCCCGATCACTGGTTGTCTGCCTATGAAAAAGGACAAAGGTCCTCTTGTGATAATCACAGGGGAATCAGTCTAACTAATGTGGTGTCCAAAAATCTAGCCTCAATAACACTTCGACGTCTAACTAGGGCCCCTGAAGCCCTGAACGTGAATGTACAAACTGAATATTCACCCTTGGGCTGGTTCTGGAAAATTGACAAACTATTCAATGTCCAGTCATGGTCGTATTTCTTGGCCTTGAAGGAGATTTCGACTCAAAGGACCGTGAGGGTGTGGCATTGTTCATCAATGAAGTACATCAACCTTTTACAGGTCCTGCACTAGAACACTACTCATCAAGCTTAGATATCCCCTTACAGACCATTCTTTCATCGTTTGACTTTTCAGGCGTTGGTATTTCACTGGGAAATTTACCTAATGACTAAGAATATGCTGATTACACAGTCCCGTTTGGCGAATATGTTGACAAAATGATGTCTTCTCATAATCATGAGAGATAATGCTAGCATGTTTGATATAATTTTCTTTAAACTTAAGTAAAAAAAAGTTATTTCATTGTTGGTTTGCTAAATCAATGACAAAGAATATAGTTGAAATCATAAACCTCTTCAATTATGCTGGGGGTCTCCTCAGTCCTGATGGTCTTGTGTCTAACGAAATCCCGGCACGGATTCAGAGGGTTTGAGTAACTTTTTGTCAACTTGTGGTGTAGACAAGGTATTCGTATTCCAACCAAAGAACGAGTCCAGTGCCCATCAGTTCTTACCGTCCTACCTTATGGATATGAGACATGGCCATTAAGAACAGAAGATATCCACAGGCTACTAGTATCCGGTCAAGGGTATCTTCCAAGTTCTGCTTGTATATTTTGAGACCACCAAATAAGCAATGCCTGGGTTAGGAATATGGCACTAGGTGAGCATAACAAATCGGTTGATGAGGTAGTAAATCTTCATCAACGGAAGTGGTTGAGACGTACTACTTTAATCCAACCACTGTCTAACTCGACGGGCGATGTAGTCTGGTTTAGTAGGTTGAAGGAAATCTGTTAGAAGCCAAATCAAAACATAACACCAATCCACTCAGTCATTGACGACTGCACTGAGTCATGTTAACAGGTATAGACTACTTGGCTGGGGTCCGTGTGATTACTGTAACCAATCGTT